TTGATCTGCAAAACCATGGAAAAAACACAAGGTTCATCGTCTCATACAAGGTTCCTTCACTTTTTGGAAAGAACAAAACGCATGCACCAATTATATGTTGAACCAACATTTCCTGGTTGGTGGTTTGGAACATTTTTCCATATATTGGGAATGATGATCCCAATTGACTTTCATATTTTTCAGAGGGGTTGAAACCACCAACCAGTTTCAATATTGAACCAATTGGCATTTGTTTCTCTAAAAAAACTGGTTCAACAACTGCAAGGTGGTGCCCCTTTCACATCAACGTTGTCAAGGATGATTCCCATCATGGACCTCCATATCACTATGAATCATCCTTATCATGGATGGGAAATAAGCCCCATGTTTGTTGATTTTGTTGGGTTTAAACGTTGATTTTTCATGGTCCATAAACCAGTGTTCTTTTTTGTTGGGTTCATAGCTATCCCCATTGCATCCCAATATTTGCTTGGTCAAATCTCTATCTTCAAACATATCACCGATGTTAAGTCCCCATCATATCCATTATATCCCCATGATAACACAAAAACATGGTTGGCTCACAACCTTACAATGTTGGGCCCCCAAATGATAGCTAAGTTGGTGAACATAACTTCAATAACTATGGTTTATGATACTTATCACTAGAATTAATAAGGTGTCTAAAGCAACTTATAACTGGGGGGCCCCACATTGTAGTTGGTGGGTTATCTGTTTGTTAACTAAGTTGATTCAAACATAGATTAAGGATTGGATTTATGATATTTGTCCGGTGTTCAAAACAAACTTATCTGGTTGGTGGTTTGGAACATTTATATGTTTTCCATATATTGGGAATAATAATCCCAGCTGACTAATATTTTTCAGGGGGGTGGCTCAACCACCAATCAGATTATACATACCCCCATGATGGTTGGCTAAATCCCCATGATTGTTGGTTGATTCACCATGAAAAGAGTAAACTTGATGATGACTTAGATAACCAGACATAACAATATGGAATCATGGGGCTATAACATTTTTTTCATGGGGCTATAACAATTTAACAATAAACCAGATAAGTCATACAAATCAACAATAAGCCAATTATATTGAAGTTTATTGATTCACCATTTACCATCAACAATTATATTTAACCAACATAACATACCCCATTATTGTTGGTTTATTGATGGTATAAACCCCCATTTTTTTACCAGATAGCCCGGCATCTTGAGGGAAGCAATTGCTGATTTCAGGGCCCGATTCTCAGGTCAAGACGCTGGCGCAGGAGATTTTTGTTTCCGAAACAAGGGGCTCTGGGATGATGAAGCCGTGAATGCAAGAAAGATGGTGAGTTCGATGGGGGAAAGAACATGAAAAAAACCTAGGAAACCATAGGAAAATGGTGACTTACCATAGGAAACCATAGGAAAAACCATAGGAAAGCATAGGAAACATGGCTATTAGTTATAACTGGCTATTTCGATGGGATTATACATTGTATAAAAGGGGTGACTTAGTACTTATAACTGGTATATTACGGGCTATAACAATGTGGGTTTAACCATCAAAACAGTGTGGTTCAAATAACACACATGGCTATACACACACGGCAATTTAAGCGTAAAAGTGTTGGTTGAACCACCAACAAAAAGGATTTTAATGTGATTTTTTTGTTTTGTTGATGGGATACGGATAGAGCTTGAACATCACCGATGTAGAGACGACGGTAGTCTTTGAGCCCTCTATTTGGGAAGGTCTATGTTCGTTTCCGGGATGGCAACCGTTACATATCCCAGATGATCCAGATGCTCCATGGTGCTGGAATATTTTCCTACAAAACTGGGCCATTTTGGGGGTTTCCATGTAGGTAGATATTCCAGCACCATGGAGCATCTGTGTATAACACATAATATGTGCATATGTGGGTAAATTATATCTGGGTAAATTATAACGACTTCACTGTTCCACCTAAGCCAGGAAAAGATTGTTTATTTTAGGGGAATCATCCCCAAATGGCCTCAGTTCAGGTTTGTGAAATATTATAATTTACCCAGATATATGATGATATATGTGTATATGTGCAATTGAATTAATTGTTGATAGACAAATTAATATAGGATTGGTTTATAATATCATTGTTACCCACTGACTTCCTGGAATGCACTATTCCCACAACAACTGGGATTCAGACCAGGAGTTCTGTTTGATTGGAGCTATCTAAAAGGCTGTTTCTTGGTCATCGTGTATTTTATTTCCAAACCTAGCCTTTGGAAATGAAACCTGCCTGACTGAAAACTATACAGTGATATACAGTGAGGATATTCTAATTTCCAAATCATCATGTTTGCCACAAACGCTGTGGATTTGCTATTGGCGTGCTTGATAATGCTTGATAATTGGAGGGTATTTTGGGAGGTGAGCATGTAAAAAAAAGGAGCCATAATTTTGATTTCTAGGCGCACCGATCTTTTAAATACACGGTGAAGCATACACTTTCAGTGATGCTGATTCCATGAACGTTTCTGTGGAGATGCTTGTTGTTTGAATGTCCGTCCCAGCGTCCAAAGATACTACGGTGCGTTGTAACGGATTGTTATGTTTTCCTAGAACCACGCATTAAATGGGTTGATGTTGGATTACTTGGGTATCATGGGTTAAACTGGAACTTAGCAAATAGTTCAACCGTCTTTTCTTTCCGTTTCTATCTGTGTGATTTATAACAAACTATGACACATTGATTATCATTTTGATGGTTAAACACCATTATATAATTCCCATTTAATTCCATGTCGTCCCTATTATCCTATTGTTGATTGTTAAATCCTCCATTTTTTCCTCTTTAAACAAGTTGATGATGGCGCCCCGACACTCCATGGCCAGTGACAAAAACAGGATGCGGGACCGCGTGGTCAATTGCTTCGGTGCGGGATGCCACGGTTTTTGGGCTGTTGTGCTGGTTGGGTAATGTACACAACGATATGAATGATGATAAACCAGTACTTAATAGATCTTAAGTATAGATGCTGTTTAATAGCACTTAATAGCATGTTCTTAACAACACTTAATGGATTGCAATAGATCTTAATAGCATGTACATATGAAAATTAATTACAAGTATAAGTTCTCTGTTAGTAGAAGTGATCATTTTTGAACCAGTGAACAATATCTACTAACAGTTTTATGAAAACCCAATGTACTAAGCATTATATAGGGGACCCAAGGAACTGTGACAATCCCGAGCTAATCACCGAGGTCTGAAAGCCGCTGCTCTAATGGAGGGAACATCTTACCGTGCCAATAAGGTATTTTATTGGGATTCTATGGGAATCTATGTTATTTTAATGGGATTTTGATAGTTAAACCTCGTATCAATGGTAATTTCAGGGTCCTAAAATAGAAGTACGTTAGTACCATACTGTTGGCCATATTTTGTGAGGATATTCCCTGAAATTTAGGCATTATATAGGCCTGATATATGGTAGTTACCTCCAATTTAGGTTCCTGAAATGGTACCCCAATAGCTGGATGGTTTATAAGGGAAAATCCATCTATAAATGGATGATTTGGTGGTACCCCCATTGCAGGAACCCCCCATATAATAAACAAACCGTACTTGTGTCATGCTTTATCCAAATTAAGATAAGAATAGTTGAACTGAATAGCCAACATGGAACTTTTAAGAAAAACAGCAGGAAACTATGTATGGTTCAGGGAAGTTTTGCGTGATGAAGTATCTGAATTGAAAGGCAAGACAATATTTCACAGACAGACTTAATTTAAGGGTTCTTGAGTAACCAGCCGTGGCCGTGGTGTTACCAAATTCAAGAAAATGCGATACAGAAAAGGTCCGAGAAGCACTCAATTCATGGGCCTTTCATGTCCTATCTATTATGGATTGATTCAAGGTAAGGCCCCTCCCCCAGTTATAGTTAAATGGTGATGGGTCAAAACCTATTATTTACTACATTTGAGGGGATGAACATCCTAATTTACCAACTATTTTAGGGCTCACCAGGGTTTTGAATGGTTTTGCCTCACAGCCATATCCACCATAAACCTTAGTCAATCAAGTTATGCGTTTCAACTTCATTAGGGGCCCTCGCCTTGTTGAGATAGCGGCATCCACATGGGGATCATTGAGGGTTTCTTAAGTCATGGAGGATAGACAGTCACCATGGCTTTGCTAAATTTGCTCTGGTGACTTGGATGATTTGGATGATTTGGGAGTACTTCCCCAGGACTTAGGAAAGCTTCATGGAAAAAAACATGAACAATCAGGTAAGCTCATTAGGCTCAGTGGCTGACTGTTTGCTTATTCTGATAGAGAACGATCTCCTGGCGGCACCAGATTGAATGTGATTCTTTCCCCTCTGATAAAATCAAGATCCCCCAATATGTGGACCCCCAATATATGATTTGTTTCAAGGTGGTTATGTATTGATTTAATAGTAGGTTTGTGTTAGCACAAATCACAGGTCAAAAAATTGAAGTGACTTGTTGAGTGATGCACTGTCCACATGAAATCTTCCAGAAAATTTTGAACTGCGAACACAGAGCATATCTGGTTGGTGGTTTGGAACATTGTTTTTTTCCATACACTGGGAATTTCATCATCCCAACTGACGAACTCATATTTTTCAGAGGGGTAGGTATACCACCAACCAGTACAAGTTGGTTTATAAACCCCATGAATAATTACTATAGTTATCTATAGTTTAATAGGTACCATGAACATTCCAAAACCATAGTTATAGGATGTTATAGGTATCATAAACCACCAACCAGATATAGATTATTCCTACGTATCCAAGTGTTTTTTCCCCTGGAGAAAACGCAGCGGAAGCATGTTGTGCTGGTGAAATCCCATCCGTCCAATAGAAATCCAATCGTCTGAGCCCCACATGGTATGTATAGGTATATTTTAAAATATAAACATTTTCACATTTTGAAGTGTCCATCACTGGACACCCTGGGATGATGACCTCAGCAGTGACTTCCGGTATCACCTGCTGATTATGGATGCGCCCTTGTATGCTCGAATGCAGGAGCACTCTGCTCGCCATCAGCACGCTATCCAGTTGTCCGTCTCAGCTGAGCCTGCACGCAATGAAGTGGTGCATCTGGAGCTTCATCTGCTTAGCCACGTTGAAGTCGTGGAATTGCTGTGCCGAGTTTACCGAGAGATGCGATCCACCAAGAATGAATTGGAAGTTTTACGCCGAGAGTTCCGCGACCTCAGGAACCGCTTCGGCACGACCTTGGAAAATCTGGCAGCATGGCAGGACGAGTTGGCACCTCTCCTTGGATTAGTCCACCCTCAGCCGGATATGCCCCCTGACGACGATGGCCCAGCTTTCATACACAATGACAATACTATATATGATAATTATAGATATATATATATATACACATAATATTTTTACATATAATATATATATCCTATATATATGTGTGTGTCCTATATATATATTTATATATCTCTCTCTCCCTACATATACATATATGTATATATATATATATATTTATATTTGTACATATATGCATATAATATACATATATGTATTATATATAAATATATATGAATTACATGATAGTACAGTAAAATATAATAATTATACATGTTTCTCTCCCCAGGGGTCCCAACATTTGCCTCCACGCTGCGTTTTTTTTTTTCGCCAGGCTTCGTGTGTCCCTGTTTGAGGGATCTCTTGGTGACAGCCTCTGCGTCCCTCGGCTGTGACGGTCTTTTGATATCTGGGGGGGAAGACAATGAGATGGAAGAGGTACTTACCCTCTGGTAATTTAATTAGCTATTGAACATGGCCATTTATAGTGGATTTTCCCATTAAAAATGGTGATTTTCCATAGTTATGTTAGTTTACCAGAGGGTAATACATATATGATTATTTCATCAATGAATATTTCACAATATTTCACTACGGATATTTTAGGGCAATATTTCCCATGTACTTATACATACTTATGGATAGATTTTGTATGGGATCATTTAATGAATATTTCACAATCTCCATCTCATTTGTGTAGTACACAGACATGTATGGATAGGTATGGTATCGTTAATGAATATTCATGGTATTATTCACAATCTCAATCTCAATCTATATCAGTAATCTATTTTTTGATCTATATTTTTTAGTATCAACTAACATGACTCTCCATATTACTATGCAATAGACAAGGTGTATTTTATCACCATATTTCATTCATGACCAGAAGTCATGAAAAGTAATTAGTCACGACAATAGTATTGGATGTTTTTCCATAAAAAGTAACTAGCATGCCAATATTATTATAATGAGATAATTTATTGTAATTGATCAAAAGTAATGAGACCATTTTGTTGTCATGAACGATGGGATTATTCTATAAACCATCAAACATAATCAAAAATAAATCTGGGATACAATGTGGGGCCCCCACGGTAGCTGAGCTGGTTTTTAACTCCCACAACTTTGTTTTATCATATTCAAAACTAGACTTAATGGAGTGTAAAACCCAACCTATAGCTGGGGGGGAACACATTATTATTATCGAAAATTGTGTTGGGATCATCCAAAAGAGGTTTATACATAGAATCATCCTTTCATTCATGATATATATAATCCTGTCTGTCTATCTATCTATCTATCTACCTATCTATCTATCTATCTATCTATCTAATCCATCAAAACAGGATGGATTTTTCACTGTTCATCTCATTCGAGGCCACCGCTCGAGGTAAGCCCATCGTCCGGGATCTCGGTTTTCCATTTTCGACAAACCACGGGGACCACGGGGGAAAATTGGTGGTTTAATGGGAATTTCATTGGTTTAATGGGAATTTATTGGGATTATACTGAGATTTTACAATAAAGACTGGTTTCATCCCACGGATCGCTACAGTAGGTTAGATATAGGAAAAGCCCAGTGTTTCATAACTCCACTAAGCTTACATATTCCACAAGCAAGACCTTAGCAAAAGCCAAAGGATACAACCTAATTACTTACGATCAGTGGGATGAGCCCATGGTTGCAGCCGGGATGTGCGTCTGAAAATGGGGCCCTAAAATTACCTCCAACGTCTGGCCATGTGAAAACAATGAAAGTCAACATGGAAAAGTATGATACACCATGAATTTTGTGGGTACCCCATTTTTCAGACAATCCTAATCAGCTCCATCATCCATCTATAGAATCTATAGTATATTTATAGTGTATCATTGTTTTCACATGCTTGTGAGTGGTGGATTGTTGTAGTAAGTAAGTATACCAACACCGTGTGGATAGTATTGTGCCTATACATGGATGGGATACACGGAATGAAAGCTGCATTCACCAATCAGAAGGAATCTTGACCAGAAGCGAAACGCCCCACCCACAAAATACGTGACACGTTGCTCCAACCAGCTTTTTAGGTTTCAGAGTTTGAGCCCCAAAATCCATTTTCAAGCATTTTGGCCAATACAAAAACGGACGTGTTTGGCAAAAAATGACCGAAAACATGTTGGCAATATTTTACATATGGCAATTTCATTGACTGTATGACTACATGGGTTTGTCTGTCTGAAACTGGAGTGCCCCAAATTTGATGTTTGGTCATAAGGTTCTGCATTAAACTACAAATTTTCATAGTATACGGTAACCAGATGTTCAGACACAGCCATGATTGGAGGCACGTTGATCTTGGTCAGGATCGACCAGATTTGTTTCAAGCCTTTGCCTTGACCTGAAAGGGACGTTCCCAGTGATTTTTGGAGTATTTGAAACCACCATGTAAAGCGACCTGGCCGACTTCACCATAGATGGATGATGGTTAACATTGAGGATCCCCAAAAAACTCAGATCCAGCTGGCCCTTTTTTTTCTCCCACGACACAGAACAACATGTTCAAGGCTCGTTCGTCGCCATGCCGTTGATGGATAAACCACCATGTTTCGCCATTGCCCTTAAACGTCAAATGTGGATGTTTCCGAAGTCATGGGGGTAGCCCTAAATCATCCTCTTTTTTTTCGGATGTTCTTTTATAAACCATCCAGCTTTAGGGATCCCCCATTGATGGAAGCACCCATATTCAATAATAAACAATACTACAATGTGGGCTCCCCCAGTTATAAGTTGGTTTATAAGCCACATTAACTATATAACTATATAGGATGTTATAGGTATCATAAACCATAGTGAAATGGAAGTGATGTTCACCAACTTAGCTATCATAAATTAGCTGTAAACCCCATGAAATCCGTGTTGTTAAGTCACCATGTTCCTATGGTTTTCCTATGTGTGTTTTCCTCACAGGGGGGCCCACATCACGTAGTTTTCTGGCCAGGAGTAAGGCACAAGTCGCCATCGAGGAGTGGCCCAAGTGACCCGTTTTTGTGTGTGGAAAACCACGCAGTTGTGGTGGGGCAAAACATGGAAAACCTCCGGAAAATTCATGGGAAACTGTGAGATAATCATCTGTAAATGTGGATGGGAAAATCAAGCCAAAATGTGGATTTCATGGGGAAATTGCTCATATGGCTATGGAAAATGTGCTTAAGAATGATGATGCCCCATAACAAATGATTAAATGACCAGAGGAAACAAAGTCGTTGAATTTTACGCCCGGTGTGGTCACGCCCAGAAAGCCGTTGGGATCTTGGGCCCCGGTGAATCGCACGTCATGGCTGTGTCTATGGGAGTGTTCAATGTTTTTGGGATTGGATTAGTAGATTTTCCATCCACATTTATGGATGATTATCCCATTTTGGCTTGATTTTCCCATCCACATGATTTAGTAAACGCAGGATTATGCAGTACCATGGGCTGCATGATAGATTTAGATTTATATGCCGGAGCGATAATTTTGAGTGTAGCAATTTGAGAGTAGGAATTCAGCGGCCAAAACCACACGTCACGGTCTCAGGAATCCTTGATGGAATTGGACAATAGTCAAAGCATGACATAGCCCCTTTTAAGACACACCATGACCGTAGCATGATGATTCAGACAAACCCATTTCTATAAGAATGTTGAATGTTAAACTATCTATACTTATGTACATGTCAGTTTATATTCGTTCACATACGTACATAGACACGTATGTATAATATATATATATATATACTTACATACATGCATGCATGCATACACAGAAACGAACCCATGTATTAGATAGGACATAGATTATTATGGGTAATAACCTATATCTACATATTGTACATATGTATGTAGGTATAATAAATATATATATATATACATATACCTCTATAACCCAATGATTACATATACATATATATATATATCTATCTATCTATCTATCTATCTATCTATCTATCTATCTATCTATCTATCTATCTATCTATCAATACCCATGAAATATAGTTCCACCCCCCCACACGTCCTTTCATTGAGCCTCGGACAGGACAGAGGACAAGTAGAAGCCCAAATTCTGAAGCTTCGATGCTCGGACGCAACGGGGAATGTTTTTTTAATGGCTGCTGGCGAGGAGGCCATCCTGTGTCCGAGCCAAGAACATGATGCTGGCCGAACAGGTCAGGGCCATGGCTCGACCTCATATATGTATTCGCTCAGAAGGACGAAAACTTGTTGAATATGCTGTCTGATGACTGAAGAGGGAGAAAGAAGTGGCTGTGTCCCTCAAGATGAACCCAGGGGGGAAGGGAACTGGGGACACGGCGGACCAGTTTGTCACTGATCCCTGGTCTGGTACCAGAACACAACTGGTGAGGTTGGCAGCCAGGTTGAAGGAGGGCCCTATCGTGGATGTGAGTTTGTACACAACTCATAATTCATGATATGCAAGAGGCCTTAAGTGACTGATGACCCTGTAGACACTTATAGGCGTGTTACATGGGAACGTAATAGTTTATGGCGTGGATCAGGCTTGTGATCCTGATCTACACGCCAACCACGTAACACTTTTGGCTCGGGTTTATTGATATCACCAATTCACCGGTTTTATGCAGTTATGGCCATTTATTAGTTATAACTGGTTATAAATGGGATTATACAATCTATAAATGGGGTTATGTTAGTACTTATAACTGATATTTCGGGCCATAATTGTATTTTAATTGTACTGACTCGATCTTCACGATTTGGCACCTCAGGTCATCGTATGTTGAGAGAGGAATGTACCATGCTGTACCATGCTGTACCATGCTGTACCTGTACGGATTGGATTTGTAACGGCTGCACAGTTATGGCCCGAAATACCAGTTATAAGTACTAACATAACCCCATTTATAGATTGTATAATCCCATTTGTAACCAGTTATAACTAATAAATGGCCATAACTGTAGACTCTAGTGGTGGCACTGAATTTTGGGGTTTCCTTGCAGCCGAACTGGCGATTAGGCCAGGGAGGAATGAGAAGCTTATTCTTGTTCACCAAGAATCAAAGTCCTCCGGGATAGACGTCCATTCATTACAGGGATCTGGAAAAGTAAATCGGGTGGGCGTTGAAAGCCATCAACATCATAGTTGAGGTAAGAGAATTGTGTACGGATTCTCTTACTACAGTTGCATTAGTTGCACATTATTATATCAGGCATCTTTCATGGGCCGGAAACAGCCTTCCACATGGTGTTACCAACATTAGTACATTTATAGCTCCAACGACCTATCAACGACCCCATCATTCGGAAACGGCCTTAACGGCCTATCCAACGGAAATTTACGCTAAGTCCTCCGTTGGTGCCTTCAATTCTCATATCGTTTCATCATGGTTTATGTTGGTTGGTTTTTTAGAAAACATATATTTAAGCCAACCAACATGAAATATAAATACAATGATCAACATTTCAACACATGGTTTATATGATCATTTGTGTTTAAGGGGTCCATGTGTTTTTCAGAAACCGACAAGAATCCGAATTTTGGTGTTTAACTGTTTAAAAATCGCATGAGATTATTCATAATTATGATATTATCGTATTTCATTTCAAGTCAGCTTAAATAATCTCGAGTCACCCTAAATCATCTTATATAAACTGTTTGGTGGTTTGGAACATTTTTGCTTTTTCCATATATTGGGAATAAGAATCGCAACTGAATAATATTTTTCAGAGGGGTTGAAACTACCAACCGGAAAAAGACTCCTTAAAATCGCAGTTGCTGGTTAAATCACCAGTTGATGTAGCCCCGTTTTTATTTCCATGCAGTTGCACACGTCCCCTGAAGTAACATAAACCCTGCCAAATGGGAGGGCTATTCAAGATGGACTAACCCTGCATCATACAAGTGATTATCAAAGGAAGTTGGGAAGCAATACTTCCGAGTTACGGACAAATAGAATTGTGAGAGTTGACATTGACGAAGGGTGGTGCGCGACTGAGACTTGACCTTGATGAAGGGTTGTGTGCGACTTTACATTACACAACAATACATCACAAAAGAATTGACCTTGTTGAAGGGTGGTGTGCGACTTTGCATTACATAACAATACATCACAAAAGAATTGACCTTGATGAAGGGTGGTGTGCGACTTTACTTTACATTACATAACAATATATCGCAAAAGAATTGACCTTGATGAAGGGAGGTGTGAGACTTTACACTACAATACAATACATCACAAAAGAATTGACCTTGATGAAGGGTGGTGTGAGACTTTACATCACACAACAATACATCACAAAAGAATTGACCTTGATGAAGGGCGGTGTGAGACTTTACATGACAGAACAATACATCACAAAAGAATTGACCTTGTTGAAGGGTGGTGTGCGACTTTGCATTACATAACAATACATCACAAAAGAATTGACCTTGATGAAGGGTGGTGTGCGACTTTACTTTACATTACATAACAATATATCGCAAAAGAATTGACCTTGATGAAGGGAGGTGTGAGACTTTACACTACAATACAATACATCACAAAAGAATTGACCTTGATGAAGGCGGTGTGAGACTTTACACTACAATACAATACATCACAAAAGAATTGAGCTTGACACATTGTAATGGCTGCATGAATGTTGCATGGGCTTTGTTGTGGGGAGGAAGCCGGAGCACGAAACCTTGTGTTTTTCCGTGTAAAGTGGTTGCAGGCGGCGATGAAAGGTACCTCGTGTGTGTGCGGCGGTTGCGGCTGCGGTCGGTTTGCCTTTTTTTTTGCCGCAGTGGAACGGTGGCTTCAAGCTGTTGTGGCTGTGCCTGCTTGTGTGTGCGTAGTTATAGGGTGTGAAGTGTGGGACGTGAAGAGTGCAGTGAGAAGTGTGAAGTGTGGAGTGTGAAGTGTGGAGTCCTAAGAGTGCAGTGTGAAGTGCAGTGTGAAGTGCAGTGTGGAGTGCGAAGAGTGCAGTGTGAAGTGTGAAGTGTGGAGTGTAGAGTGTGAAGTGTGGAGTGTGAAGAGTGCAGTGAGAAGTGTGAAGTGCGAAGTGGAACTTCAAATGTGACATGTGAAACAGGACACAACTGTCGCAGAATGCACGCACGCACGGGCTTGGCTGGCGCACGGCGCATTAAAGTTCTATAGATGAGAAAGGTCTTATATATATCCCTCAGGCAACTTCCGCCCCGCCTCGTGCGGGCACTACTGGTATGTTGAAACTGACCGTTTTAATTTTGAAACTCACATCCCGATTAAAAAACACAAAAGGGAATGTAAGGTGTTGTAAGATTATCTATATAAGATGACTTCAATGACCTAATCAATCTCCCTTACGTAGTCCAAAAAATGTGTGTTTGTTCAGGTGTTTTTCCCGAGAGCGTCTGAGCGCAAGGTTCTTCCAATAGTGGGGGTCTGTAAAACATCTTCTCATCTTCACATCTCATCTTCACATCCTCTCATCTTCACATCCTCTCATCTTCACATCTGCTCATCTTCACATCTGCTCATCTTCACATCCTCTCATCTTCACATCTTCTCATCTTCACATCTGCTCATCTTCACATCTGCTCATCTTCACATCTGCTCATCTTCACATCTGCTCATCTTCTTCATCTTCACATCTGTCTCATCTTCACATCTGCTCATCTTCACATCTGTTCATCTTCACATCTGCTCATCTTCACATCTTCTTATCTTCACACCTGCTCATCTTCACATCTGCTCATCTTCACATCTGCTCATCTTCACACCTTCCCATCACATCTGGTCATCTTCACATCTGCTCATCTTCACATCTGCTCATCTTCACATCTTCTTATCTTCACATCTTCTCATCTTCACATCTGCTCATCTTCACATCTGCTCATCTTCACATCTGCTCATCTTCACATCTGCTCATCTTCACATCTGTTCATCTTCACATCTGCTCATCTTCACATCTGCTCATCTTCACATCTTCTTATCTTCACACCTGCTCATCTTCACATCTGCTCATCTTCACATCTGCTCATCTTCACATCTGCTCATCTTCACATCTGCTCATCTTCACATCTGCTCATCTTCACATCTGCTTCATCTTCACACCTGCTCACCTTCTCTCTCATGCCTTCTTTTTATCTTTCTCTCTTAAGGCCGAGGGTGGTGCCGGCGGCGAGTCACGAAACGTCAACCCTTTCGCACGAAATGAGGGTCGATCGGCAAAAACTGAGGTAAAAGTGCGATTTTACTTGTCCTGGAGCAACCCTTTCGCACGAAATGAGGGTCGATCGGCAAAAACTGAGGTAAAAGTGCGATTTTACTTGTGCCGGAGCAACCCTTTCGCACGAAATGAGGGTCGATCGGCAAAAACTGAGGTAAAACTGCGATTTGACTTGTCCTGGAGCAACCCTTTCGCACGAAATGAGGGTCGATCGGCAAAAACTGAGGTAAAATTGCGATTTGACTTGCCCCGGAGCAACCCTTTCGCACGAAATGAGGGTCGATCGGCAAAAACTGAGGTAAAACTGCGATTTTACGTGTGCTAAAGCAACCCTTTCGCACGAAATGAGGGTCGATCGGCAAAAACTGAGGTAAAACTGCGATTTGACTTGTCCTGGAGCAACCCTTTCGCACGAAATGAGGGTCGATCGGCAAAAACTGAGGTAAAAGTGCGATTTTACTTGTGCCGGAGCAACCCTTTCGCACGAAATGAGGGTCGATCGGCAAAAACTGAGGTAAAACTGCGATTTTACGTGTGCTAAAGCAACCCTTTCGCACGAAATGAGGGTCGATCGGCAAAAACTGAGGTAAAAGTGCGATTTTACTTGTCCTGGAGCAACCCTTTCGCACGAAATGAGGGTCGATCGGCAAAAACTGAGGTAAAAGTGCGATTTTACTTGTGCCGTTCTTGTCTGTGTGTAAAAGCGCCTGTGTGTAAAAAGCGTCTGTGTGTAAAAGTCTCTGTGTGTAAAAGCGTCTGTGTGTAAAAGCGTCTGTGTGTCAAAGTGTCTGTGTGTAAAAGCGTCTGTGTGTAAAAGTGTTTGTGTGTAAAAGTGTTTGTGTTCAAGTGTTTCTGTGTAAAAGCCTCTGTGTGTAAATGTGTTTGTGTGTGAAAGCGTTTGCGTGTAAAAAGCGTCTGTGTGTAGAGGTTGTCTGTGTGTAAAAGCGTCTGTGTGTCAAAGCGTTTGTGTGTAAAAGCGTCTGTGTGTAAAAGTGTTTGTATGTAAAAGCTTCTGTGTGTAAAAGTGTTTGTGTAAAAGTGTTTGTGTAAAAGTGTTTGTGTAAAAGCCTCTGTGTGTACATGTGTTTGTGTGTGACAGCGTCTGTGTGTAAAAAGCGTCTGTGTGTAAAAAGCGTCTGTGTGTAAAAGCGCCTGTGTGTACAAGTGATTGTGTGTAAAAGCGCTTGTGTGTAAAGCCGTCTGTGTGTAAAAGCGTCTGTGTGTCAAAGTGTTTCTGCGTAAAAGTGTTTGTGTGTAAAAGCTTCTGTGTGTACAAGCGTCTGCGTGTAAAAGCGTCTGTGTGTAAAAGTGTTTGTATGTAAAAGTGTTTGTGTGTAAAAGTGTTTGTGTGTAAAAGTGCGTGTGTGTAAACGTATCTATGTGTAAAAGCTTCTGTGTGTCAAAGCGTTTGTGTGTAAAAGAGGCTCCTGTCTGTAAAAAGGTCTGTGTGTAAAAGTGTCTGTGTGTAAACATGTCTGTGTGTAAAAGTGTCCGTGTAAAAGCGTCTGTGTGTCAAAGCGTCTGTGTGTAAAAGCGTCTGTGTGTAAAAGCGTCTGTGTGTAAAAGTGTTTGTGTGTAAAAGCCTCTGTGTGTAAAAGCGTCTGTGTGTAAAAGCTTTCTGTGTAAAAGCGTCTGCGTGTAAAAGCGTCTGTGTGTAAAAGAGTTTCTGTGTAAAAGTGTTTGTGTGTAAAAGTGCCTGTGTGTAAAAGCGTCTATGTGTAAAAGCTTCTGTGTGTACAAGCATTTGTGTGTAAAAGCAATTCCTGTGTGTAAAAGGGTCTGTGTGTAAAAGTGTCTGTGTGTAAACGTATCTGTGTGTAAACGTGTCTGTGTAAAAGCTTCTGTATGTAAAAGCTTCTGTGGGTAAAAGCTTTCTGTGTAAAAGTGTCTGTGTAAAAGCTACTGTGTGTAAAAGCTTCTCACTATTTGGTCTTGATACTCCTCTTCTCGACTGCCTATAACACATCTTTCATACATCGTTTCTAAAATTGCGTCTCCATACTAACAAGAGAAGACCCTGCTCCTCTACGCTCTCGGGCCATCCGTCGTCTAGTTATTTAGCAGCAAAATCAGGATTTGGATGGATTTGGGATGAATGATTTGGGGAGTTCTTTAAATGGTGTTCCGCAAGTTGTCATTCAAGGCACTATACCAATTTGATATTGAAACAACCACCTTTTCTCTTGGATCCTCCACTTTAAAGATTCAAATAAATTCAAAAAGATGGATTGAAGATGGTCGAAAACTACCCCTTCTTCCAGAAATAAATCTTAAACTTTGGCTATTTTCCCGGGGTCAAGCTGTCAGTTGGGATGATCGGGATGGTATTCTCTACAATTTTCAAACTGTCAATGGTGGCCCCAGGTCAGACTATTCAACGAAGGCGCGGCGTGGGATGGAGGTTTTTTATAACGTTGCAAGGGAGGTGCCACCCCACCAGGTATATGTTTTTGGTTTACACCCACTGGATCCCTCCAGTAATCAAACGTGGCTGGCTGGGGAAGTCCCGCATGAATGGAAAGTTGACGGGAGAATCATCTGTAAATCGTGGATTTTCCATTGCCTCGTTTGAGATACCAAAGGGTATACCATGGTATACCAGCTGGTACCTGGTGGTAGAATCACCTTAGGGCCCATCATTGTACCGTCCGAGTTCAAAAACATGTGGTGGTTTGCGTTGTAAGGGCATCAAAGGGGTTTCACAGTAAAATTTCATCAAAAATTCCCCTATGAATCCACCTTGTCGTGAAAGTTCAGGCGGAACCTGCCTGGTTCGAACGCGCAGGTGGGCCATGGTGGAACCGTGGAACCTGGGTGGAGAGGTGCAGAAAAAACTAGAGTTATAACCATAAACTATCTTAAGCTAGTTTGTAACTATAGTCTAAAATTAGTGGTATAGGTATAGGTCTAACAATAGTGATCTAACAATAGTGGTATAGATCCAAAAATAGTGGCATAAACCTATTTTAACCCGAATAGGTTGACTTAGTGTGTTATTTGATGTTGTTAATGTCTTATATAATCTAGCTAGAGTTCATGTGGTGAGACCGATAATAAACCATCCTATTTATATATGATTTACCTACCCATGGTGTTTTTCCCCAGTTGTGCTATCCATACAAGGATTTATGGTAGATAAGGAACAGAGCAGGTATGCATGGGGGGGGTGGAGTTGTGAAAGGTCTGATTTTACAAATTTTTGCATCACTGTGCATGAGTTGGTGTGGTTATGAGATGGTCATGCTACTTTTCAAACAAAACATGTCAAAACATAATGTAATCTTGCGAGGAATGTGCTTTCATCAATGATCTTGACACTGTGCTTGGAAAGTGAACAGCACACGACTGACCAAAATGCAACATTTCCTGCAGAGATGGTGTATTTTTCCAAGAATGCTTTATTTTGTGTTTGGCAATTTGGCAAAGAAAAAACATGTCTATATAATATATACAATGATCTTGATGCCTGCAATGAATTCCGCATTATATTGTTGTACATATTGCCATGCATATATATATATATACGCACTATTTGACAAATCCATTTTTTTCACAATAGATTATGTTTCCGGAAAATATGTATTTGATATTGAACAGACATGAGTGCAATTTATAGTTGCAAATTCGGCATTTTCTGAAAAGTGTTCTGCATCCTTTCATTCTGTTCATGAGTGTTTTTCAGAAAAGAACATGTCCAGGTTGAACATGCACTTCTTCAAAAGATAGTTTAACTACAATTGAATCTAGACCTTTTCCAGGCATCATCTATATTTTGCCTTAAAAGCGATTCCTTGTTGAAAAAAGGTAACACACTTGCAGGGAAACAATACATTTTGTGCATGAAAGCACAACTGAAACTTGAGACATGCACTTCGTGAAAAGACTGCTGTATCTTGAACAAGTTTTTTTTGGAGAAGATCATGCATCTTGAAAACAACCCTGTTTTCTGCAGTGAATTGTGTATTGTACCTTTGTGAAAATGTAAAAATACAAACACATGTTTGAAATATTTATTGCATGCTCTGCACAATTGATGCCCCTTTCAAAGGAGATAATGGGTTGCAGGCTGTACTGAACAAAAGATTGTATTCTCCAGCTATAGGTTGTACACTTCCTGCTAAGGGTATTGCATCCTTGAATGGCATATTGCTGATTTTTATAGGAGTGATGTCTGACTAGTGGGAGGAGGAAGGATTCGGCTTGAACATATTGTTGTATATTTCAACTTTAAATTTCAATCATATATTTTGTTTGAAAGACTACTAAATACATCTTAGACTAGTGTTTTTCAAGACATAGTGCATAGCTACCAGAATATTGCTTCTTTCAAGCTATTACATTGTACAATGAAAAAAATAACCTTGAAAATGAACATGTCTGTGCAAAGGAATACCATCATTTCTTCAAGAAATGCTGTATTTGTGGCATGCAAGAGTTGCTGGCATTCTACAAAATAGTATCTGTTTCGTTTCTTCCAGAGGAAAACAACATCCTTCTTTGGAGGAATCTTGTCGTTAGGGATACAATATTGCCTTTTTGAAGGAGCAAATCATTTTGAGACAAACACATTTTTTGTACAACACAGTGTTGCTTAAACAATCCATGTTTGAAAAATATATGTTTTGTGTTAGATATCACTTTTAGTGATTCCAGGTTTGAAGAATACGAGCCAAACCTTTAAAGATGAGGAACCAAAACCTCAGCATACCACTAATATATCAGTCCAATGGAGTGCCTGAAGAGGTGGGTAATAGAGCCCTCTGGCTGTTTTTACTGTACGTTTTCTTTGATGGCCCAGTAGCCAAAATCAGCAACTCAATGAAGACATCAATATACCCAGATGCTCCATGTATGGAATATTTACCAACATGTGCCCTAAAAATCACCCAAATGTAGGTAAATATACCATACATGGATCCTATGGGATAAAATGTGGAGGGGTGAAGCCGCTGTGCCGATGTTTGTCAGGATGAACATTTCCGGAGCCCAAGCATCATCATTGTTGGACTGACAAAGTGGCAAAAACCCTCGGGGAAACAAACAAAAACAAACAGTTTCGACCCATATATAGAGGGTCTGAGAAGCTGGACAGGGGACACGGGGTGAAACTTCTTGTTTTGTTTTTCCGTTTTTCCACGGGTTTTGGCACTCTTGGTTGAAAGTAGCATTTTCAGAACCTGTGAAGTGAAAGTAGATGAGCAAATGGATACATTCTGATCAGAAAGAGCAAAAAAAAACACGCATTTCTACGCATTTCTACAATATGCACGTCTCCACCCCCCATGGGTACCTCTTCTGATAAGGAAGTAGTTGTGGAAAATGACACATTGAATAAATTGATTTATTTGTTCATCGTTGAACATGGCCCATAACACATAGTTATATACTAGTAATGTAGGCTGCCTAATAGTAAATCCCCCCCTAAGAAAAAAATAGGGGGGTCAGCATTCCAATAGTATTTTTTTGGAACCTTATGGCTGGGATCATGATATGTATTGTATCTGATAGATTCTCCATGGTTTTGTTGGGTTTCTGATAGATTCTGAATGGATTTGGTTGGGTTTCTGAGAGATTGGCGAAGAGTTGGCAAGGCGGAAGTGGACATGGAAGTGGGGGCAGAGGTGGTGGAGGTGAAGGAGGAGGACGAGGAGGAGGAGAAGGAGAAGAAGGAGAAGGAGGACAACAAAATTGGAGTTGCGGAAAAAAGTTTCCACTATTGCCATGCCTGGTGCAGGTTTGTTATTGCTATTCTGGGGCTTGCAAAGGGGGTACCCTTTGTGGGCCTGTTTTCTTGCTTTTTTTAATAAGGGTTTTAAAGGAAATCAGCTGTCTGGCAATTGGATCAGATTTCTGGAGTCTAAGCTTTTGCTAATCAAACGTGAAGGCTGCTTTGAAAAGGATTTGCTTTACTTGACTCTTTTGGCAATACTAAAAGTAAATGGAGCTAATTGACTTTTAGTATTGGAGAAAAAATTGGAGTCGGGAAAACAGTTTCCACTATTGCCATGTTGGGTCCACTATTGGCCATGCCCTCTGGACAAGGTCTGAACATGACTCTTTTGGCAGTACTAAAAGTAAATGGAGCTAATTGACTTTTAGTATTGGAGAAAAAATGGAGTTGCGGAAAAATGTTTCTACTATTGATAAGATATCACTATTGGCTAGACAACATTACTCTAGTAGTTATGATAGGATTATGGTAAGATGATGGAAATGTCCTGTAGTTATACTTGTGAAACCCTACGGTGATAAATCAACTACATAACATATAATAATGTGTAATAAATGTAGCGAACTCACTATGTTAATATAAAGCGGTTGTTTTTTGAGTTATGATGAGTTAGTAGTTAGTCAAAAGTAAATAATTACTGAGTAAATGAGTATTTATGGTGACAATCCTACTATATTTACTGAGTTCAGTAGCTAGTCATACTAGATATACCATAGCTCAGTCATACACTAATTGACTTAGTTCTAAACTTAGATTGGTTCCAAACCAGTAGCTTAGTTACAAACCAACTTAGACAACGGAGCTTAATTATAAACCAACTTACCTGGCTTGTGGGCCCCACAGTGTAGCCATTGGGGCATTTGAACCCATTCGCAGACCATTTTCTTACAAATTGGAGATTCTTGGAACCATTCCATTGCATGACAGCATAACAACAACTCCCAAGGGGTATCTTCGAAGGGACAATTCGAGTGAACGAACACTCGATGTGACCTGGGACGGACCTTTGGCAAGGAGAACCACATGTCACGGTTGTTAGGATCGCTAGGGGAACGAACCGGTTGTTGGTGCAGCACCTGGGTAGCCACTGAAGATAAGGGCTTCACACCTTTGCTGCTTATCATAAGCATAAGTGGTGGACCAACCGGCGAACTAGGTCCGAAAATGCCGCGGTACCCTCGGCTTCAATTGTACGGAGCATGGTGCAGATAGTGAGCCGTTGTAAAGGCCAGTCGAAAGGGGGAGGAGTGGCCATCCTCAATCACCAACCCCGCGGCCGGGCTTGACCACGCCGTGAGGGCTTCGACAAAAGAGCTTCCACCGCTCTGCTGTCGCAAGGGGCCCGCGCCCAAACAGCTGCCACCGTCGACGCGCTCCGGGCTTTGTACCCTGCTGGCCCTCAGCCCACTGGCCCGGCCATGGCTGACTTGCCCGTAGCCCCCGCCCTGGAAGCCGAGTTGGTGAACATTTCAACCATCTGCCAGAGATGGGCGTTTTTTTTGCCTTGCAAATTACCATCGAACTTTGAAGGGGATGTCCATATCCTATAACTGTAGTTTCAAGTTCCACCTTTGAATTTGGACTTGTAAATTTACGCTCTGGTTAGTTAACATAACCATGGAAAATGGCCCATTTATAGATGGTTTACCTAGTAAAAATTGTGATTTTCCATGGCTATGTTAAATAACAAGATGGTATCTCATTTTGCTGCTACATCATAATGTGTTTTAAAATCTACAGTAAATTGTTCTTGGTTCATATCCCATATTTTACAATGTGGGGCCCCTTGGTTCGGCAACTATAAACTATCGTGTATGGTATATCCAATTTATGCTATATATTGTATGGGTTTATGGATCTCCGTGGCTTTCTTGGCCCCACTTTGTAATCATCTCCTTCAAATACGAAATACCACCAACAAGGGACCCAAAATGAATGATTCCTGAACGAAATCAAACCTAGAACGGAGCATGTAATATTTGGGGGAAGGGATTGCAGGTAGTTTGGCAGCAGCCTTCAATTACACGTGAATATATTATAAATTATAACCATACTCAAAGGGGTTATATCCCAGCTTCTGGGGTTTATTACCATGCTTGCACCTACAGTGGATGGAAGAAATCCTACACCAGTTGACAAGTGGTTTATCAGGGCTTATCCCATAAATTATTTTTCCCATAGTTGCACTACTAAGTTGCCATAGTTACTTATTGTTTTTTTTATATTAACCCCAATGAGTCTTACCCCCAAGTACTGCAGGCGAAGCACAAGGCCGAAAAGGTGCTCAGTCACTATGAAGAGGTGCGCCAGCAATGTCGTAGGAATGTCTAGTGGGAATGTGTACAATGTGGTACCCCCCCAGTTATGTTTGTTGGTTTGCAACCCCATCAACCAGAGATATATCTACCACTAGTCCTAATGAAATTGGAGTTATTTGCACCAAGTTAGCTATCGAACTGGGGCACCACTTTGTAGTAGATATAACCATTCAAAAAGTATTTCGAAATATTTCCAGATTTGACCCATACCAGGGGGAACCCTTTCAAAAAAGATCAAGTGGGAAACCTAGATTAATATGAGATAGATCATACAACTAACAAAAATGGAGTAGTAAAGAACACTCCCATAAGGTTTAAGCTAATATCATTAATATTGGACACATTATGGGATTCATATTAAATGGGATCATGGGAATCTAGTTTTTCTCAATGGAAAACATCCCTAACCTTGGACCCACTGGAGAGGTGGTCCCCCATTCCTTTGCAAATGGAAAATAACCAGCAAACGATTGCCCTCTGGTTATTTAACATAGCCATGGAAAATCACCATAGAAATAGATGTTTCACCTATATTTAAAATGGTGATTTTCCATGGCAAACTGTTAGTCATAACCAGATGGTAATTATTGTTTGTGGACTACCGAAAAAACTATCAAACAGTTGGATGATCGTCATTTTTGTCCATGATATGATATAGGCACATTGATTCCAACGGGATTATGATTGCATTTAAACGGATAATTATTCGAATTCGATGAAAAATCGCTGAACTGGGGATACAACAATATGTTCAATCCGTTGATTTTATGGTGATTTTATGGAACCAAACACCAAGGTAGGAATATCATTCCGATCACCAGCAAAGAAATTGTTTAAATGACTTTTTAACCACTATTTATGAGGAATTTGATCGACACAAATTGTAAAGTCATTGGGGAGCCGTTATTTGGGTGTGTCTCAATGTTGCTAGGGGATGTGGTGATAGACTATCAGATTTGGGGGTAACTGTACTCTACTTTGAGACAGGCCCGTTTGAAGTTTGGGTATATCGGGGTGTATTTTAATCCATTGAACTAAGAACAACTTGAATCTGTGTCCCTTTCACACAGGTTGGTTGATTACATAGGAGAGTAAATCATAGCAAATCCCATGGAACAATCCGCAGGTATATAATGACAATAAGGTGAGTTTTTTTATCCCTGGGTCCTCCTGGAGAGTGAGAGCAGTGAAGCCTGCGTTCAGTTCGCTACTACAAACCATGACCGCTGTCAGCTTCCGTGAAACTCACCCCAGAGGACATCGTCAAGGAAGCTGCATAGCTTTGACCAGTGAATGTGAACACTTCCTGGCGGCGCAACGTGATATCAATGCGGCAACCTGAATGTCACTGGAAGCTGAGACCGCAACCGAAGTTGATGCACTGCTCACGGTGTCGGACTTCAATACGCACAAGCAAGGTGTCCAACACAGCGTAGTGCAGCTCTTGTAGACGATCCGTTGCAGATTCCTTTGATTCCTTCACCGAAACGCGGCGGTGGAACCCGGTGGAAGTGGCCAAGATGATCCAAGATGTAAGTTGAAACTTTTGGTTTCCAGGGCTGACAACAATCTTTGAGTCTCTATACCTCCAGGGCATCAGATTCGCCCCTTGACGGAGTTGAGGGCTCAAACTTCCATGATATCTCAAAGTCACCAATTACCCTATGGCATGCCATGACATGCCCTATGGTATTTCAACATAGCTATGGAAAATCATCAGTTTTCGTAGGTAAAGAAAAGGGTCAATCATCCATAAACGGACGGTTTTCATCCATTTTCCATAGCTATGTGAAATTACCTGCGGGTAACTTGTAGGTGATGGGATTATGGGATTATAATCCCAGTGGCTTAAGCTTTGCCAAGTGAGGGATTTACTTTGTCAGCGGGACAATATGATGGACAGATTCACCAAGATGAATCTTCTTATGGCAAGGTGCCAAGGTGATGGAGAGTGAATCCCAAAATCATGGTAAATGTATGTATCACCTGCAAAGATAATATATAATCCCTAGGAATAAATGAATAATGGTTTTATGATATATATATATATAATATTTTAATCATTGTAAATATCACCTCTTATATAATGAATGTCATGTTGTGATTATATAATCCCTAGGAATTAATCAACCTCCACACAGGAAACATGTTCGGGCAATACTAAAATGGGTTGGTCCCCCTTGATTAATCAACGGCGGGGAGGAAATCACCCAAATAATCAACCGCACAGAGAAAATCCAGGTTTTTGTTCTAGGTGTTCTTGTTTTGAATCAAGGTTGATCTCATTTGAAATCCTTTTTAATCTTTATATATTTTTTGTTTAAAAGGAATTTCAATTGAAAATTGTTGATATCAATTATTGAAATCTTTAATAACTTTTACTCATCTTGAGGTGCATCTTTTGTTTTAAAAGGACATCAATTGAACGTCGGGTGATATGGATTCGAAGTTGATCTCTTAGGACTTCAACTTAGGAGGGCGTTTATTTGGAGGGAGAAACCGTGGCAGAACCTTCTCCCTAGGTACCTACCTTCCGACGCCGGGGCAATTATCACTGACGTTCTCGTTCATTATAATCCATTAGCATCCATTAGCATCTTATCACCTCAAGTAGAAGTAAAGTAAGCAAACTAATTCGATCTTGTCTGGGGATTACTATATTGCTATTCAATAAGTAGTTACTAGGCTCGACAAGAGCCAAGCTAGGTCGGCTAGGTCACCCTCTTTGGCTGCGCGAAGCCGCGTAGGTCTTGCAAACTCTCGAGGACCGGGATCGGCTGGAGTCGGCGTTAAGAAAATCCAGATGTGCCATGAAAAGTTACCCGGCCTGGTAAACTAACAGTTTGCTATGGGAAACCACCATTTTTAATAGGTAAGTGAACAATTTCTATGGCAATTTCTAATAGCAACTGGTTAGTTTACCAAAGGGTAGACCGGATCATGAGCAAAAATAGGGATGCAATGGTAACTAATCTTTCAATTGAACGATCATGGGATATAACTGGACGAACATGCGATTCACGGAAAATTAGTTTATACATGTTTATACAATCTCTGGTTGGTGGTTTGGAACGCGAATTCTATTCTCAATATATGGGATGTCATCCTCCCCATTGACGCACTCCATCATTTTTCAAGATGGTTATTGCACCACAAACCAGGTTATTATTAACCATCATTAACCATATATATCATATATTAACCATATATTAACCATCATTAACCACCATTAAAACCACCAACCAGCTGGTAATGAAAGATGTTTTGCTGGAAGTTATCGCAGATCAAAATGGAGGGTTCATCTATAGATGGAGGTGTCATTCCAGCATGTCATGCTTGACCGGAGAGTACCCTCTGGTAAACGTTTACATAACTATGGAAAATCACAATTGTTCATGGAAAAATTCACTATAAATGGTGATTTTCCATAGTTATGTTAGTTTACCAGAGGGCAATGGAATATGAATGGGGATATATACCCGGCCTGGTAAACATACAAAAACTATTGAACATGGCCATAGAAATAGTTGATTTACCCATTAAGAATGGTGATTTGCCATAGTGATGTAACGTTTACCAGAGGGTGCCAACTGCAATCAATAGTTTGATGATTATGCCATGATATTCCCATATTGGCGGATGTTCATCCCCCATTAATAGGGGTTCTACTACCAATTATCAGGAACAGTGCGATATACATACATATATATATATAATCCTGCTTAGAAGATTCATTGGCCCAATTTTAGATCGCCTAAAAATCAATCACATTCTTGAGGGACATATGTGTGACTTTTTAATTCTGATTCCATCTTACTCTTGACTGTACATGTTTACGTATGTATTGTCGCATTGGGACAGCAAGCCCGTTGCGAATATGTGGTTGGAATTCCTTCCACCTTTTGGATATGTTACAGCACCAATTATTCCTCATGACTGATACTTGATTGCAAACTGAGTCTATTTGATAATGTACCCTCTGGTTATTTAACAATATTTAACATAGCCATGGAAAGATCCACCCATTTTTAAGTTCGGTAAACCTCTGTACATTGGCCATCTATGCCATGGCGAACTGTTAGTCATAACCAGCGGCTTTTTGTGTTCTTTTCAGTATCCGAATGTTGGACTGGCATATTACCCTCTGGTAATGACTAACATAGCTATTGAACATGGCCATAGAAATAGTGAAATTTCCCATTAAACATGGGTGGATTTCCAGTTCGTTATGTAAACGTTTACCAGGCCGGGTATATTGTGTGGTATCCTTGCTGACTCGTCCCTAAAATCTTGTGTGGTATCTGTGGTATCTGCGGACTCATAGTTGAAGCATTCTAAGTTGTTAAACACCACAAAAATAAAGAGGGGCCAAGTCGGCCTTAAGCAACCGGAAAACATATAGTACATACCACGAAAATAGAAGATATTCAGCTACCATGTTTGTACCCCATCTTCTATGTGTCTGGTTTTCTGAAAGGCGTTTTGGGAAGAATCACATAGAAGATACTATAGTTGGAAAATTTGGGATTAGCTACATCAACGGCAGTTTCTTAAAATCGTACTTGACCAAACCAGCCAAGTCAACATCATTACACCAGGTATATCAAGACATATGACTGGGTAAATTATAACGACCTCACTGCGACCTCACTGGAAATCATGGTTAGTAGGGGGAATCATCCCCAGATGGCCTTAATTCAGGTTGGTGAAATATTGTAATTTACCCAGATATGACATAGCCATGGTTTTTCATCACCCATCGCCCAGTCTTATCAACGGGAATAAAAAAGGATCCTAAAATGGAGGTACGTTAGTACCACATAAGACCATATTTTGTGGGGATATTCCCTTACATAGGCCCAACAAATAGGCCTTATAAATGGGGATTGCCTCCAATCAATCGGTTCCTGTTGCATTGCCATTGATCTTACCCTCTGGTAAACATACAAAAAACTATTGAACATGACCATAGAAATAGTGGATTTACGCATGAAAAATGGGTGGATTTTCCATAGTTATGTAAACGTTTACCAGGCCGGGTATCCCATATCTGATTCCAATGATCCCACCATCAGTGTTTTGTTCGGCCCAGGGCCCCATTTTTGGTGCTACCAAGTGTTGAATGAGATTCACCCCAGAATGCTCTAGATATATCTACCGTAAACCGCAGTTAATCTAGTTATATGATGTTATATGCACCACCTTTTCTGGATATATGTTTTTTTTGGTTATACATCAACTAGTGACCATACAAAAGCTGATATAAGTGTGCCTTCTTAGATATGGAATATATCTATCTATCTGTTCATAGCTATTGTAGACTTTGAAAAACCGCAAAGCCTAGTTCAGATGGAGGCTTCCTAAACTTGGGGTACCCCCAGTTATCGAGCTTGGGGTACCCCCAGTTATCGAGCTTGGGGTACCCCCATGACTCTAGAAACCCTCAGATAGCTCTGAATCAAGCGAACAGAGGGCCTTGGTGCTACCCCCAATGTGTTTGTTGAATGGCCAGGATATTGGAGCATATAGATAATAACATGTATATCTAGATTCACCCCAGAATACTCTAGAGATATTTACTTGCCAGGAAAGGCTCGGACAGTTGGACCATGAGATTCGGGAGATGGGCAGACGCTTGGCTCATCGCTCGCTCTTGGTTCCAAGGAGAACGCTTCGCCGGACCAACGTGGTCCTGATTTTAAGCAGTGAACATGGCGCTCGAACGAGGAAAACATGTGACTTAACCATGAAAAATGTTGATTCAACCAGGGAACATTGTGATTTAAGCATGAGAAATGATGATATAACCATGAAACATGGTGATCTAAGTGGAAAACAAGTGTGATTTGAGATGGTTCAGCAATCAATATGTTTTTTTTTCCGCTATACACAATGAAAAAAAGGATCTTCAACGTTTGAATTTAACCATGAGATCACAGTGGGATTAGAGGAAACATGAGGGTACTTGGGGGAGCATCCCGCCATCCCACTAGCCAAAACTGTTCATCGCCGTGGTGATTTTTTCAGTCCCTGAATCATGGCCTGATCCCAGATACAAATTGGTTATAACATGTTATAACCAGGGTTATGGCCCTTTACCAGTTATAAGTACTTATAACCCCATTTATAGATTGTATAATCCCATTTATAACCAGTTATAACTAATAAATGGCCATAACTGCAGGGTTATTAATCAGTTTCTAAGTGTGATGATACTCAAGTAGAAAGGGTGGACACCAGAAATGATCCAAAGATGCATGGGTGTGATCCATATTGAGGTCACGCGTGTGCTGATTTGTGGCCTTGTTTGTGGCTTGATTCGAAACACCGCCCTTCTTGAAACTCAGAAAATTCTACATATATATATATATGTATATACATACTGTATGAGGTTTCATTCTTATTAATATATATAGCATACAATCCCCAAAATTATTTTTTTGTATAGATCACATATAGCACAACAACAGACATATGATAATTACATCATAGTATTCCAAGCACTTAAGCAGCTTGAGCAGTTCCATTATCAGATTACTTTGTCATAAAATTATTCCAGGTGTGTCAATGGTAATTTCCGGATCCTAACATGCAGGTACTGTACCCTATAAGGCCATATTTTGTGGGGATATTCCCTTACATAGGCCTTATATGGTAGGTACCTCCAATTTAGGTATCTGAAGTTGCCATTGAATGTGAGCCCTTCAAGATACCCCTATCCCATCTCATTATACGAGTTGGCTGATAGGTTTGCAATGAGTTAGATTATAATCCCTAAAAACCCTGGCAGTATAACTCCCGATTTCCATAACCAACCGGGGAATTTTCAACGGCTCAAGAATGTCCCAATGATACCCCTTTAACATCTGGTTGGTGGTTTGGAACATGTTTTATTTTTCCATATATTGGGAATAGTAATTCCAACTGACTTTCATATTTTTCAGAGGGCTTGAAACCACCAACCAGACATCCAATGATAGCCCGGAAAGAATCCCAATGATTAAGCCTATCAAACCCCACATCAAACTCCTTTAATGTTACTACATTGAACTCTCAAAAAAGACCCAAAGACGTTATCCCACTGTCCATCTGGTTATTTAACAGTTCGTCATGGGAAAATCCACCCATTTTTAAGTTCGGTAAACCATCTATTTCGATAAATGGGCCATGGCTTGACCATGGCGAACTGTTACCCCGGGGGGGCTCCATTGACTCGCTGAGGCAGTCGAATCTTTTGGGCAAAACTTGCTCTCTCACAGTGACCTACGACGAAGGAACCGCCCGCGTGGCTTTTGAACTGCCCGAGACCAAGAGATCCGAGATCACGAGAGCTGGGAGACAGGTGCTGTGAAAAAGGATATGAAAAATCAATGTAGATATTCCAATGTAATTGTGAATATATACGTATATATATATATATATGTATTTATTATTTGCCATGATTGTAGATGATTATCTGATTCACATTGCTTCACTATGTGCACATGTGTTTGTTTGTGTTTGAATTTGCAAACGTACATGTATCATTATCTGATTGTATATCCGTAAATATATATATATATTTACATTGGTAGAGTAGTAGTAGGAGCAGGAGTAGGAGTAGGAGTAGTAGTAGTCGTAGTTGTAGTAGACGTAGTAGTTGCTGTAGTAGTAGTAGTAGTAGTAGTAGTAGTAGTACTAGTACTAGTACTATTTCTAGTACTAGTACTAGTAGTAGTAGTAGTAGTAGTAGTAGAAGTAGTAGTAGTAGTAGTAGTAGGAGTAATCGTCATGGTAGTGGTAGTGGTAGTGGTAGTAGTGGTAGTAGTGGTAGTAGTGGTAGTAGTGGTAGTAGTGGTAGTAGTGGTAGTAGTGGTAGTAGTGGTGGTAGTGGTGGTAGTGATGGTAGTGGTGGTAGTGGTGGTAGTGGTGGTAGTGGTGGTAGTGGTGGTAGTGGTGGTAGTGGTGGTAGTGGTGGTAGTGGTGGTAGTGGTGGTAGTGGTAGTAGTGGTAGTAGTAGTAGTAGTAGTCGTAGTAGGTAGTAGGTAGTAGGTAGTAGGTAGTATGTAGTAGGTAGTGTAGGTATGAGGGAGGTAGTAGTCAGTAGTATGTAGTCTGTAGTTCGTAGTATGTAGTAAGGAGTAAGGAGTAAGTAGTAAGCGGTAAGTAGTACAGTAAGTAGTAAGTAGCAACTAGCAAGTAGCAAGAAGTTATTAGTAAGTAGTAATAATCAATTTATATGTTATGTGATTATTTCCAAATATATGTAATGTGATTCAGTGACTTTTGGTTCAATATGTACATATATGTTTTTGTGTTTGTATTTGTGTATGTACATGTACCTAATTGTTGATTTGTATACTTCACATACATGATTTTGTGATTACATTATACCTATTTGTTCATGCATGATTTGTTGTTTTCCCTCGGGATGTTGTCGTGAGTGTTTTACGGGCCACACCCTAGTCACTCGTCAGGATGTTGTCGTTATTTTTTGCTGCATTTTTGAGGATGTGCACATGCAACCTCCAAACTCTATCCCACTTATGAAGTTTTTCATGATTTTCAGGACTCATATAACCATTCTCACAAACTTCGGAATGGCGACCAGCTTGTGGGGAGATTAATTTGTAGGGAGTTTTGGGCATCTCAAAAAGTACTTTTTGAGCAAAAAGTGTCTCGTGCTAACATGTCATAACATCTCCGTGACTTACAACGATTTATAACGTGAAAAAGTGAAAAATGAAAAGTAAAAAAGTTATAAAAGTGAAAAAGTAAAAAGTAAAAAATGAAAAATGAAAAAGTTAAAAATGAAAAAGTAAAATGATTTATATTAGATTGAAAAGTTTTAAAAGTTATGCACCAACAAACATTGAACTTACATGAATTAGTATCCTTGATGGATGTGGCATGGTTGTCAATTGAGTCAATTGTGTCTTATTATTGGCAATGAGAGCAGAGCTTGGTGATGGAACTTCAATCATCAAGTTTACTACATTGCCAACATTACTATTTATTGGGCATGTCTAGTACCTGTGTTTGCATATGCCTCATGGAAGGATGTGTGTTATACACATCACGTCAGGATGATTATGCATCCCCAGGTCACATGGCAATGCATATTTCCTGTTGCCGATGTGATATCTCACAAAAACATGCCAACATCTTCCCCTCAATTAGTCAGTCAGTCAATTGTGTCAATTGCATCTGTTGTGTTTCTTCAATTTCTGATGTTGAGTTCTTGTGGTGTGAAGTGGTTTCAGATTGAGATTCTCTGAATTGAGTCATTGCTTGAGATGTTACTACATTGTCATTCACCTGCTCGGGCCTTAGTTTGCAAACATGTCTCGTTGACAAATGATTTGCGTCAATTGTGTCATTTGCGTCATTTGGATGTTTGCAGGTCAATGTTTTGTTTGGATGTTTCAAGGAGGGGCTGTATAGCGCGTCAACTTCATCAATGACAAGGAGCTGGTGAGTTCAATTATTGTGAATCAATTCAGTGGACTCAAGTCCAAGCTGCAACTGTTCAATTCTTGAACCGGGGCCATGTGTGGGTGGTGGCAATTTTGGCTCAAAATTTGCAGGATTTACTGCATCATTCATTTTGGTCAATTGGTGGGTCAGACAGTTGAATTTTGTCAAGCTGTGTCAATTGTGTCATTTGTTTGCCATGATGTCGGTTCCTGTTGCTGATGGCTCCCTTCCGATTGTGGTCCTGCCCTTCGGTATCATTCACGAGGCATGTTTGATTGATTGGAGTGCGTTCTGAGTTGTGTGTACATTATATAAAATAGATAAAGGTTTGCTTGTGTGGTTTGAATTATTAGCTGGTCACTGCATCTCATGAGCAGGATCGTCGGGTGAAATGGCCAAAGTACAGGGAGAGCCTTGGTTCAAATAAAATAAGGCAACTGGTAAATAAAATTCAAGGACCTTCTGAGAAATGTGGTGTTGCGCGCTTTCGCATTGTCAGCGATCCGAGGATGGATGGAGGGCGCAAAGTTGATGCAGATCAATGCCTGAAGCACCCATCTCTTGTGAATCTTGCCAGTGATTCGTAGTGATGTCAAAGTAAGCTGATGGTTGGCTCCAGGCATCATTTACAAAACTACAGCCTGTGAGGAAAGCGAAGGAGATGCTGCACGACTTCCTGAGGGACAGGATGGCCAAGTTACTGGCTGAGAAACCTGAATTGCGTCAGAAGGCCAATTGCAAGAAGTTGCTGGACGAGCTCAACGACAATGACATTGAGGTGGGATCATAATGTTGCTTCAGTCCATGTGGTTTTCAGTACTCAGTAGTCAATCGGTTTTGCCAGGTGCGTTGCGGTGCCAAAAATTGTTGTGAACCATCAGCCATGCTGCAGGCAAATTGGTGGTCTTGCCATGTCCAAATTGACAACGACCTGTGGGTAGTGGTGCCCAGTATGCCCAAGAATGCGCCAAACCTGATTATCTTGCACAAGGGTGCCTACCTCAATTGAGTCAAGTGAATGTTGGAATCCTTTGAATTTCAAATGTTCACACATGACATGAATCATTGAGCTGAGCCAGCAGGAGTCAATTCACTCGACTGGGCCTGCAGGCCAAATTGCTGTGGAGTTCGGTGGCTTCTTCTGTGAGCGTTTGATCCAATTTCATTTGCCCGCGGATGACAATGAAGAGCCAGCTGTGCAAGAGCCACAGTCGCTTCCACCAAATAGTCAGTAGACAGCAAGACTGACTCAACTGACACACTCAGTAGCATCTGAAGTGATGAGCAGAAACCACGGGGTGGTCAGTGATTCTGATGGCTTCAATTGTCTCATCATCATCATACATGGCCGAAATGATTCGTTCAGTCACATGTGGAAAAAACGATGATCAACTTATTGATTGAACGGTTTAACTGTGGCAGGATCTGGGCGCTTGTCATTCTCTCAGTACTCAGAACCAATGATTTGACTTGACTTGCTTTCTTCCGATACAAATGCAATTACATTGCGTCAATTGAATCAATTGAGTTCAGACTTGAATTGAAACTAACAAGAAGTGTTGCAGTCATGTCATTGTATTCTTCAATGTGAGGCCTGAACCAAGCCTGCAGATGTCTTTGAAAGGCCCGGTTCTGCTCCAGTCTTAATTCTTTTCAACATAACATGTTGAAGCTTCTAACAGTGAGCCAGTGTCTGTTGTGGCATCGCCTGTTCAACTGGAAAGCTGATTGATTTCATTTGGTTCATCATGCAGTGCTATTGCAGAGTTTCTCTCAATTGTGTCGTCAAGTATTGATGTCATCTCTTTTGGGTTTGAGTGATTGAGTTGTATGTGAAGCAGCTCAAGCACAATGGAAACTTCAAAATGCAATTACACTAGGTAGAGGAACTCAAGCATTGAAGTTGGACAATTTAGCCAGACATCTAATCTAGAAATCAAGTAAAAAACTATAAAATCAAAGTCATCTACTTCATTGAATGAAATCAAAATCATCGACTTAATTGAACAAAATCAAATTCATCTACTTTCTTAAATTCCAGCCAGCGATATTGCCTTGCCAATTGTCAATTGTGTCAATTGCTTCAATTGCTTTCAATTGATCGAAGCCATGGCAAACAAGATTCCTCGTAGCTATGCGCCCGGTGACAACAAGGACTACGACGACAAGAAGAAGCCAGGCAACGAGGAGTCCCAGTACCCATTGCCATTGGTGGTGGCACAGCCGCAGCAGAAACATGTGGCCCATGTGTTCTACTACTACCATTCTGGGAGCGGACGTCGCTCGGAGTGGATGACCCTCTGCAAGGACACTATGCAGTGCAACTTCCGGAGTGTCTTGGTTTTGAACTGATTTGCCTTAAGTAAACATTGTTCTGAGTGTGCTTTCAAGTGACATCAATTGTTTCAATTGCCTCATGTGTTTTGAACATTGTCTTTGAGCAGCTTGCTTTGCTGAGGCAGATCAAAAAGCGGAGCATTGCACTGGAGTGGATTGCATGGCAAATGGAGCTGGGATGGCACTCTCCGGATTTGGGACTGGAACTGCCGAGGCGAGCATGCGCCCAAAGCATGCCGCAAGGACACCAACTTCGTCTTGGCTGCAGACAATGAGTTCCTTTGTGATCAGATATCGCCGTGTGGACACTTGGTCCGTAGACGAATGTGGTACATCGGCGAATTCCACATCGAGGCTTGGAACATTGCGTTATTGAATTTCATTGACAATAGATTTGCACTTGCATGAACCAAGCATGGTAAGGTCATGAACACAGTAGGTTAGTCAGCAATTGATAGTGCTTCCAAGTCAGTTGGCTCATTTTGGACCATTGGACTTGCTGAACAGGTCCTCGAGGCGTTGGCTGCTGAAGCGGAGCTGGAAGATGTGGATGCGGTGTCAATTGCGTCATGGCAACCATTGTCAATTGCGTCAGGTGTGCTGGCTGTGCAGGATGGCAGAGAAGCAGAGGATGGCGAGTGGGTTGTCTTTTGAATTTCGATGAGTCTTGGCAGTCTTCAATCCCTGACCAGGTTTTGTGGTAAAGTAGTGAATTCAAACTGCTGCGCTTCAGTTCACTTGGGATGTCATTCTTTAATTTGATTGGAATGCCTGTGGTGTCCCCTGCTTCTCCCTGTCCAAACCCATCAATTGAACGAATTCATTTGCGCCCATGCCAAGGACGGAAGCCATCCCAAAGTGCCTGCTTGGTTCCTGATAGAATTGCCTGAGCTGTTTTTGGCAAGATTCCAGAAGTGGGTGTGTATGGTTCCTCTTACTCTTGATTATAAAAAACAAAAAATGTTGTTGAAGCCATGGTGTGCTTTCAAAACGGAACTGAGGAACCATCATGATACCCATTATTCCAGAAGTGGGTGTGTATGGTTCCTCTTACTCTTGATTATAAAAAACAAAAAATGTTGTTGAAGCCATGGTGTGCTTTCAAAACGGAATTGAGGAACCATCATGATACCCATTAGCTGATATGGAAAGCATGTCAATTGAAGTACAATTGCAGCTCAATTGCCTTTTCAAAGTAAGAGTACTGTGCTTGAAAACATGAGCATTCAGTGGAAGACATGTCAAGGCTGAACTTCGAGATATATCTTTGTTGACCTGCTAACAAAGTGTCAATTGCTTGTGATTCTAGTGCGCTACCATCCAAGTGGCCAGGTGCAGCCTTCGCTTCAACTTGGGGGCCCCAGGATTTCTTTGACAAGTACGTTTGGCAAAGTCATTTTCATCTTGAAAAGTGATTTGGGCAATTGAGTCAATTGGTTCATTTTAGTCTACTACTGACTCATGACTGCGCCAATGTACAGATTGTCAGCGGTATTGATTTGTGTTGATGTGTGTTGATTTGTGTGAAAACTGCAAAAGGATTCCCTAATCAATCTGATCTGCAAGTGTCCAAGCTAGCGCTGAGGTTTCTGTCATATTGATCGTGATCAGAGATTCCAGACTTACTTTATTTGATTGACATGGGACACTGTTTTTGTACAATACAAGCTTTGCTCATGGCATCAAATGATATGTGATTGCATGTTCTTGTCTTGTGTCTCAAGGTGGCTGGCGGTAACGTGCAGGCGCTGCTTCGTTTCCTTTTGAACTACTTTGTCTGTGAAGTCAATGTCATCAATTGTGTCATTTGAAGTCAATTGGCTCCAGGGAAGTCAGGTCAGTAAATTCCAAGAGGAAGTGTGTCATTCAAGGCATGCACTACTTACTTTTTGCAGGCCTTTGCGACATTAGCGGCAGGCCGAGGCGAGGCCTGTGTTGTTTACGTGCCGGTCATTATTCATTATGTTCATTCTTTCAAGTCAGTTCATTGAATTGCTTTGTCAATGGGTTTTGTGGTTGTAAATCTGACATATGACAATATGGCAGTCTTCACGAAGCAAAGTTGGCTCAAAGCTTTGCTGGGTGCCTCGATTCAATTGCATCAATTGCGTCAATTGCCGCATTTGTACCCAAACGGATTTAAGAACAAGTCATGCCTCATGCAGGAAAACATGATATTCAAAGGCCAACCCAATGAGCACCAAGAATGCAAGTCTTCAGTTTAAAGTTCATTTATTTGTTTGACATTGTTGATGTCTGCACCCAGCATTGCTGTGCAATACTTGCCATCTGAGTGGCGCTCGACTGTTAACAAGTGGCCAAGAAAAGCTCAGCAGGCTGCTTGATCGCACTGGTGAACATGCAATTGAGCATTTTGATCATTTATCATGTCTTACTTTCAATTTTGAGATAAATCCTGATGTGAGTGTGTTTACCAGAATCTGGGAGTAAGACATTAGCAAGTTGCTCGCTTGAGGCGATCTATCTCCTGTACCTTGAGTGCCCGAGTAACGCCCAGGATCTAGTGCCCCTTGGACCAAAAAAAAGGAGAATCGAATTTATGAAGTTTGCTGATTCGGGCTGCTATTTATGTTTGATTCATTGAAGATGTTCAGAGTTCAATTGGGTCAATTGTCTTCAGTGAAAGTGTGGGTCAATTGAGTTCACTTGGTTGTTTGTTTTCAGGGACCACATCAAGAAGAAACCACCGGCCTGCATCCTGAAGTACGTTCTGTCGTCATCGCGGGAAAAGATCAGGGAGTAACTTACTTGCACTGCAGGATGTTTTGCTTGGATGTTGCCAATGCTGGCTTGAAGCTGGTTCATTACCAAGGTACCACGAGAACAATGGCATCAAGTACGACAATGTCACCAAGAAAAGGTGACCAGACCACAGTTTCTTGGCTTTAAGAAGACATGTTGCCCAATCACATTGGCTGGTTTGGATCAATTGTGTGAATTGCGTCAATTATGTAAATCTGAAGTGTTGAAGGGCTGGCACTTGAATCAAGTTTGGATCAAATGTGTGATTGGGTCTGCTTTGGATGTAGTGTCTGATGTCAGGTGCCAATTCACTTGTGGAATCACCAAACCTTCAACTGGCCAAAGCGCGTCGCGATCCTGGGGTATGGATCGGGCAATGCGAGAAAGGGGTGGCAGGACAGGGCCTTGTGTCATGATCATTGATGGAAACTGACATTATGATGTTTAGTTTTCAGCCGCTGGGTTTGGTGTGTGATCAAGTTTCTTATTCTTTGTGCCTTTTGATTGCAGGAACCCCCGAAGGAGGTGGTCCGGATCATCGAAAAGATGGGCGGTCACTTGCGGGACCCAATGAAGGAAGTGTGGGAGCACCGGCTTCCTATCAAACTGTCTAGGCAGTGCCTTTGATGCATTCAGATCACAAGGATTTCCTTTGATTTCCTTTGAATGCATTCATGATGATATCATCATTGGTGGTTTGTTATTGGGATGCTAAGGTCCTTTGAAGAGCCTCAGGGTTCGAAGCAGAAGATGAGCGGACTGCACACGGAGGTGCAGGAGGAAGTGGCTTGGCATCAACGTCTTTGGGGTCGACACTAAGACAGGTTGTCAGTTCGTAGTGAAACTGATAACATGTTTGAACTCAGTATTGTCAATTGACTGAGCCAGTTGTTTTGCCTTCTTGTTTCATGTGCCTTTGATGTTGCTTCATGTAGTTCTTGTAGCGCTTGGCTCATTCAGGTCATCCGCCACACAGGGTTCCCAGCGGTGATCCTCGACATTTTGTCACGACCAGGGATGATCGTTCGGTTTCTTGCCTGCATTTGGCTAGTCTTGGCCTATCATTGCAGTGTACTTGTCATGTGATGTTTGCAATTGTGTCATTTGAATGCCTTGGAGCAACTCACAATTCTAATGTGAAAGACAGAAAAACAATTTCACCCAGTCAAAGCTTCAACCTTTGCACATTTGATTTTAGCTTCTTCAGACTTGTTTTGCTGAGGCTGACGTGTTCATGGGGCTGGCACAGAACCTTGGGAACGGCTGGTGTGATCATCAAGATCTTGCAGATGGCAGGCGTCGAGGTGGTCCTGTACTCCGCCCGCTTGTCGATGGCCCCTGCGGTGGATTGCAGCAATGTCATCGCCTTTCTGCAAGGGTCGCCAAATGTGTGTCTTGGCAAGAATTTCAAGGATGCCTCACCGATGTTGGGTTCAGGGTTTGAATATGTTTGCTTTCATGTTTTCAAAATTGATTACTTGCTTACTTGCCTTACCCTGATCAACATTTGTCCCCAGTGAATATTGAATTGCCTCAATTGATTCAATTGAAGTAATCTTTCATGTTGCAAGTGCTGCTAAGTTTGTCCTCGCTATGGCTCAGTGTTGCTCAGGACTATGCGAACCCTTTCGCAAAACATGTATGATGACATCACCGGGAAGCCTTGGACCGATGAGGACTTCAACAATGCCTTGGAGAGGGCTCGAAACCTGTGGAGAGAAGTCTACCCTCATTGCCGGATTAGCTTTCGGGAAAAGTCGGTGGCTCCACCCCCCCCGGGGGGGCCTCCCCCTCGGGACATTGGCCCGATAGCCACAGCGTCAGCAAGACCTCCTCCCAAGCCAACCCGCCCAGCCCCAAAGGCGGCATCAACCACCGCCCCAAAGGCAGAGCCAGCCTCAGCCTCAAGTGTGAAGAGGGAGCCATCCCCCACAGCCTCAGCCTCAAGTGTGAAGAAGGAGCCATCCTCCACAGCCTCAGCCTCAAGTGTGAAGAGGGAGCCATCCCCCACCGCACCTGAGCCAGCCCCAAAGGTGGAAGAGCCAGCCCCTGTCAAGGAGGAAAAGATCGGTATGCCGCCAGGGCTTGTGGATGAGCTCCAAACCATGAGCCCAGCACAGAAGAAGGCCAGGTGCTATTAGTGCTGCAATTGATTCAATTGATTAAACATTGTCATGGCCATAGTAAATGACATGGTTGCATGGTTTCAGTTGAGTAAGGGTTTTGGCATTGTCATTCAATCATGTTCTTTCCTTTGTCGCTGACAGGCCAAGCTCAGTGACCCCTACGTGCGGGAAATGATTCAGCAGCAGATCTCTTTCTTGCAGGGCCTTCTTGAAACTGATGTTGACGGGGGTGATGGATGGGACGAGGTGTTGTGCCATGGCTGCAGTTCAGTGATCCAGCTGTTGAGAAGGAGTGATTTGCTGTCATGCCACCAATGCCTGTGTCAAACTCATTATCATTATTGTTTGGCCAAGGGACGAGATCTTGACCGACTACCAGATCCAGCCTAGCATCAGAGCTATGATGGCCGCTGCCAAGATCTCCCGGAGCCACAAGATCAAACTAATGTGTCTGGTCTGGGTGTTGAACTTGAAGATCTGATATCTTTTCCTTGCTCACAGTTTGGTCAACAGGTCTGAGTGTTTCAGCTTTTTTGTTTGTATGTTTTCGAAACAAATACCAAGGTTCAACATGCTGCTCCGCTGGGGGAACAAGGCAGAGTCGAATGACTGGTTGCGCAGGGCAATTGGCAACTTGGCTTCACATGTCATGGCTGAGCACTCATGCTTTGAAGCAACATTTTCAAAAAACATGATTGATACTCAAAAAAGCATTTTCAAAGTTGTCAAGGTTGAAGTGCTTGTACTCCAGGTCAAGAAGAGGTTGATGCAGCACCGTCATCAAATTGGCGCCGCTGGCGCTGAGCATGGACTTTTTTCAATTTGTGGGCCAACTGAGCTCAACTGAAATTGCAGTCATTTGTGTCATTTGTGTCAATTGTGTCATTTGTGTCAATTCATCATTGACAAATGCAGTCTTGAAGCATGGGCATCAATTAGGTTGAACAATGAGTGCTTGTTCTTGTCGAAAAAAAAGTGAATGATGTTTAAGACATATGAATCAAGGTTTGGTTTCATGTTCAGTCTTTGCACCCATGCTTTCGTGTTTCCATGCTTTTTTGCCCATGCTTTCTTGCAATGACAGTTTGCAAACAATGGCATTTGAAGAAACAAAAAAGGGTGAACGCTAGTCCCAGCACAAGGTGATCATGTTGCAGAAGCAGTGAAACACTTTCATGGCAGCCGTTGCTTCATGTTACACTTGTTGTTTAGATGTTTGTCAGGCAAAGCATTGATAAAGGGTGGTGGGATGGGCTCAGTTAGCATATCTTCCAGATGACTTGTTTGCAAGTTGTGCAATTGGGTCAATTTGTCAATTGGGTCAATTTGTTGTCAATTGGGTCAATTTGTCAATGGCAAGTTATGTCAATGATGGGTGAGTCATGTCATCGCTTGCAGCACTTGTGATGTCAATGATTCTTTGAGTGTTTGTCTCAAGCATCTTCAGTGACAAATTGTTTCAGTTGATACAGTGTGGAACATGTGACATGTTTGAGGTTGCTCAGTTCACTACTTGGATGAGAAGGCATGGACTTTGTTTTAGCAATGGTTTCTTCATAGCCACATATCTCACTTGATTCAATTGTGTCAATTGAAAGATAGCCAACTAGAAACGGTGTCATTGATGGCTCAAAAATGCACCATCTTCATGTGAGGCAGATGGATCGATTGGTCTTGGGGGTGCTCTTGGACAAGCAGGCCTGGTTTCTGGGAGTCAGTCAATTTGTTTTCCATTGTCATGTTGCATCAATTGATTCAATTGTGTCAATTGCTTCTTGTCAGTGAAATTGATCCAGTTCATTGAAATTGTTTCTTTTCAATTTGGTCAATTTCAATCAATTGGATCAATTGGAATTTGTGTCATTCACTTTGATTCACTTTGATTCACAGCCAGTTGCATTGAGATTCATTTATATTCAAACGTACTAGATAAATCAAAAGCATATCTTAGATGAGTTTATTGAGATTCATATTCATACATACGTACTAGATGAATCAACAGTGCATATTCATATCTTAGATGACTCTGTTGAGATTCATTTTCATATCCACTAGATGAGCCAAACGTGCATGCATACTCATATCTTAGATGAATCTATTGAGATTCAACTTCATATTTACTAGATAAATCAAAAGTGCATAGTCCTGTTGAGATTCATTTTCATATCTACTAACTAGATGAACCAACCGTGCATAGTCATATCTTAGATGACTCTTTTGATATTCATTTTCAAATCCACTAGATGAATCAATAGTGCAAAGTCAAATCTTAGATGACTCTATTGATATTCATTTGCATATCCACTAGATGAATCAACAGTGCACAGTCATATCTAAGATGGCTCTATTGAGATTAATTTTCATATCCACTAGATAAGTCAATATTCACCAATATACTTACACAATATACTTACCAATATATTTAAATTTAGATATGAAAACATAATGTCAAGTGCATGGAGATGAATATTAAAAACTATGAATACTTGTATCAATTTCTCAAAATTGATCAAAATTGTTTAAACAATACTTATTCCCGTCCACAAAAATCTGCTCAAAATTGCTCCAAATTGCTCAAACTTATTTAAAAGGACTTATATCTGCCCAAAAAAAATTGCTAAAAAATGCTCAAAATGGTTCAAAATTGCTCAAAATTGTTTAAAAGTACTTATACCTGCCCAAAAAAAATTGCTAAAAAATGCTCAAAATGGTTCAAAATTGCTCAAAATTGTTTAAAAGTACTTATACCTGCCCACAAAAATCTGCTCAAAATTGCTCAAAATACCTGCCCACAAAATCTGCTCAAAATTGCTCAAAATACCTGCCCACAAAATCTGCTCAAAATTGCTCAAAATTGCTCAAAATCGCTCAAAATCGCTCAAAATCGCTCAAAATCAAAATTGCTCAAAATTGCTCAAAATTGCTCAAAATTGCTCAAAATTGCTCAAAATTGCTCAAAATTGCTCAAAAGTACTTAAAAAGTACTTATACCTACCCAAAAAATCTGCTCAAAATTGCTTAAAAAGTACTTATACCTGCCCAAAAAATCTGCTCAAAATTGCTCAAAATTGCTCAAAATGGCTCAAAATGGCTCAAAATTGCTCAAAAATGCTCAAAATGTCTCAAAATGTCTCAAAATGCCATTTTGAGAAATTTTGAGGTGATTTTGAGACATTTTGAGACATATTGAGACATATTAGGTGATAGAATCAACACGATGCATGATAATAATGTAGTTACATCAATAACGTTGTATGGTGTGCAAATCATGATTAGGTTCACAAACTTCGGAATGGCGACCAGCTTGTGGGGAGATTAATTTGTAGGGAGTTTTGGGTGCAAATCATGATTAGGTTCACAAACTTCGGAATGGCGACCAGCTTGTGGGGAGATTAATTTGTAGGGAGTTTTGGGCATCTCTAATAGGTGATAGAATCAACACGATACATAATACCAATGTAGTTAAATCAATAACGTTGCAAATCATGCTGCAGCAATTGAGTGAGTCAAGCAATTGTAGCCATCACATTTGACACAATTGAGTCAATTGGATCATCATGCCAGCTGCCCCTGTGAACCGAGCTTCCAAGAGACAACGCACTTTGCCCCAGATGATGGAACACATGATGAATCCCATGATGATGAATCCCATGATGGGTGGAATGATGAATCCCATGATGGGAGGTGGCATGGCGCCTATGTTGATGGGTGGCTGCAATGGAATGATGGGACCCATGAATGGAATGATGGGTGGAATGATGAACCCAGCAGCCATGCGTCGAATGATGGAAGATGTTGCGGCTGGGGAAGATGCTGAGGAAGAAGTCCATGATTATGATGATGTTGGTGCAGTCCAAGATGCTCCTCCTCCTCAGCCTGCTGCTGCTTCGGCCTCTGTGGTTGCGCAGCCTGTGGCTCCTGCTGTGCCTGTCCCTGCTCAGCCTGAGCACCAGCCGCCGCCTGTGCTCCCTTACAACAAGAGTGATGATGCTGCCATCACAAGGTCTGCAAGTATGATCAGAGGCCTGGGGTGGGACATGTATGTAACCGATGTTGATATGATGATCCTATGTTTGTTTTAAGTTTTGTTGATATGATGATCCTATGTTATGTTGATATGATGATCCTATTTTTGTTTTAAGTTATGTTGATATGATGATCCTATGTTTGTTTTAAATTATGTTGATATGATGATCCTATGTTATGTTGATATGATGATCATATTTTTGTTTTAAGTTATGTTGATATGATGATCCTATGTTTGATTGAATTTAAGTTATGTTGATGTGATGATCCTATGTTATGTTGATATGATGATCCTATTTTTGTTTTAAGTTATGTTGATATGATGATCCTATGTTTGATTCAATTTAAGTTATGATGATATGATGATCCTATGTTATGTTGATATGATGATCCTATGTTTTTTAAATTTATGTTGATATGATGATCATATGTTTGTTTTAGTTACCATGCTAGTGGGAAAATGGTAAAATGTTTGCAAGATAAAATTGTGCAATGTTCATTTCATGAATGGTCATATGGTCTGCTTCCTGTGGTTGTCAGGCATTCCCATGACAAGACTTTCCTATGCCATTGAGAAGTTGGTGCCAGCCCTGGATGCCGGCTACACCAGTGGCCTCACCCAGCGAGGTCTTCTTCAGCTTCTCTGGATCATCACGAAGTTAAAGCCATCTCTCAAGATTTCGAATCTTCGTGATTTGGTGAGAATCAATCAGTGTTGTTGTTTTAGATTACGATTATTAATACTTTAGTTGTTGTTTGTGTAGTTCATTAGATTGTCCCTGTTTGGCCATGTTGTGTTGAGTTGTTGTGTCTTTGCAGCCACAGATAATGTCATCCAATGACAATGAAATGTTTATATACATTTATATATTAATAATGTAAAATATACAATGATAGAGATTCTTCAACATCAGTCAAAGGTTATTGTACCCATCTCACCATCAATCGCCCAGGTGTGACCTCGTATGATGATCTTGGCAACAGGTTCA